AAATACTGTATATATATGTATATATATATATGTGTGTGTATATATGTGTATGTATGTGCGTCTGTGTATGCATGTGTGCATGTGTGTGTATGCACAGGTACACACATTTTCATTCATTTTATTTATTTAGTAAATTGCTATTACACGCTTAAATCTCCATTTGAGAATTAAATGTTATCTTTGCTTAAATAATGTCTTCTACTTTTTCCATCCCGGAAGTAACGATGCATCTTGTCCGCTCATGCACCTGCTCCATACAAGACGTATACATATACGGAGAGAGAGAAAGAAAGAGAAAGAGAGAGAGAGAAAGAAAGAAAGAAGGAAAGGAAGAAAAAGGGAGAGGCAGTATGGAAAGAGAGAGGATGCAGAAAAAGATAGGAAATAAAAGAAATGTGTGGGCAAGGAGAAAGATAACGAATGTAGAAAGAGAAAACAAAATAAATATATAAGAAAGGGAAAAGAGAGAGAGAGTGAGAGAAAATGAGAGAGAGAGGGAGAAAACGAAAAATGTCTAATATTTACGAGAAAGAAGTAAAAATGTAATAAATTATTCATTATATTACTGTCCTCTGGACGTTTTTTCACAAAAAATTGTCAGCCCCGACTTATCTCGTTGGACTTTTTTTTATTTTAAATATGTTTTCACTCATATTTAATGTGTGTGGTTATTTTAAGTTAAAAAAATTAGCCACTTACATTTGAGAATACGGTTATTAGATTTTAGAAGTTAAATCGTTGTAAATTTTTAGGAAATTGCAGTTTTGTTTGCCTGGGCAGATGACAATTCTCAACACCACTCTTATGGAAAATACGAAATTAATATTAATAGCATTTGAGAATGTAAACGTGTGTGGAATTCAATCCAAATAACACACAACAATACAACACGTTCAAATCCAGTTTTTTTTTCATTTAAATTTTCAATAATCGTTTTGAAAACTGTTTTTATGCTTCGGTAGTTTGAATTTTTGAAAAACCACATCGCTAGCAGGCAGATGTTGGAGCTGGCATTTGGAACCACATGTTTCCATTACCCAATCATGAGTATTTTCCCTATTGCAATTAATATGTCAAGTCGTTTTTATGTAATATTTAAGAGAAAAAACATTTGGTTACTAAAGAATAAACTAACTAATATTAATTTAAATAAGTATTTGTTATAAATTTATTAGGAATTTTAACGTTTATTTGTAGAGACTTATTTCATCTAAAAAATTTGCATATTGAAAGACCAAAACCAAGTTATTGGCGATATAACGGTGCAAAGTATATCACGTTGCGTTAAGTTTGTGAGGTAGAATGTTGTTCAACATTAATAATGCATGTACCAGCGTTCAAGTTACCAGGTTCGACTCCCAGACCATCACAGAAAATTGACGTGCGTGGATATGTATGTGTGTATATATGTGCGTGTGTGCGCGTGCGTACATACATACATACACATACGCACACATACGCACACATACACACACATACACCCACATTCACACACATACACACACATACATAATGTCTAATACAAATTTGCGACCACAATAGAAATATATTATTAAAGTCATTTATTTAATTAGCGACGGATCAGACAGACGCCCATAAACTCTTGTGTGTACGTATATGTGTGTATGTGTGTACGTGTGTGTGTGTGTGTGTGTGTGTTATTATTAATAGCCTGTTGTTTCCTCTTCTTTCTTTTTCTCTCTCTCCTTTTCTTCTCTCTCTCTCTCTCTCTCTCTCTCTCTCTCTCTCTCTCTCTTTCTTTCTTTCTTCTTTAATCATCTTTCTTCATATTGACTAACTGGGGCTCTCATTTTTTCAAACTCCATTTTCTCCCATCATTTTCTCTTCTCTTCAGTTTTTTTTTATCGTCTTTCAACTTTCTGTTTCTTTATTTTTCTGTTTCTCTCTCACTCTCTCTTTTTTTATCTTTCTCTCTCTCTCTCTTTTTTCTATTTCACACACACACAAGCAAAGACACACAAACACAAACACACACTCTCTATTTTTCTTTCAATCTCACTTTTTTTTCTTTTTTACACTTCTCTCTTTATCTCTATCTCTCTCTTTCCTTATATCTCTCTTTCTCCCTCTCTCTCTTTCTCTCTCTCTCTTTCACGTACACTCACACCATCAGCAAAGAAAATGCCAACGACGACGATAATAACTGTCAACTTGTACCTAAGTTAACCTTAAAATTTTGTCTTTCATTTTTTTATTATTATTCTTATTATTATAATTATTATTCGTCTTATTATTATTATTATTGTTGTTGTTGTTAATAATTATATTCATCATCGTCGTCATCATCGCTGCTTCATTATCGTCCGTCCTCATCGTTACGTCATCATTACGAGAGCATAAAGTACACGTTAGCCAACGTCGTCAAGGTGACCATGATAATAATAATAATAATTATTATTATTCTTTTTTATTATTATCATTGTTATTATTATTCTTTAAAATTATTATTATTATTTTTCTTTTTCCGTACACTCATCCCATTATTCTTGGTACTGTTTGTTTTTTGTTTGTCTTTCTCGTTTTCTCATTTTAATTTGTTTTTCTAGGAAAGAATTTTTTCTAGAATTAGCGGGGATATCAACAGCGGCGACAACAATCATTAAAGTAGTAGTAGCAGCAGCTGCTGCACTAGTATTAGTAGTAGTAATAGCAGCAGCAGCTGCTGCACTAGTAGTAGTAGTTGTTGTTGTTGTAGAATTAGTAGTAGTTGCAGTAGTAGTTGCAGTAGTAGATGTAGCAGTAGTCTTAGTAGTAGTAGTAGTCGTCGTAGCAGTAGCAGTACTAGCATCAGGGGCAGCAGTTGTAGTAATGATTTTTACGCTGGCGGTAATTGTATAAACAATTTTTTAGAATGGTCATTTAAATTTAATGATGTTGTTTTTAGTCGGTAGGAAAAGTTGTTGTTGATAATGTTGTTGTTATTTTTGTATTTTTTGATGTATGTATGTATGTATGTATGTATGCATGCATGTATGTATGTATGTATGGCTGTTAATGTTATCGCTATTAATGTATTTAACGACTTGACCATTAATGTTGTAGTTGTTGATGTAACTGTTGTAGTTTGTGATGAAATGGTCGTCGTAAAACGCGGAAGAACTGGCGTCGGTGGCTAATAAATGCATGCATGAAGCTGCGTTCTTTGCTTCACGTCAAACTGTCAACACTACGTCGAAAAAAAAGGATGGTAAAATTGATGTTTATAAAAACAACGAAAACTGCTTCCATCAAACATTTAAACGTTGAAACATATGTGTACTTATGTGTGAGAGTGTGTTAGAGGAGAGAGAGAAAGAGAGAGAGAGAGAAAGAGAGAGAGGAGAGAAAGAGAGAGGAGAGAGAGGTTGCACTTGAATCCTACATTGTAAGAAAATTGAATTAACTTTAAACGATGGCTGAACTAATGACTGTCGATCGATAAGGTGACGTTATTTTGTACGTGTGTATGTATGTTTGTGTGTGTACGTGTGTATGTTTGTGTGTGCACGTGTGTGTGTTTGTATGTGTACGTGTGTGTTTGTATGTGTACGTGTGTGTGTTTGTATGTTTGTGTATGTATGTTTCTGTTGTGTTTATTGGCATGTACGTGTGTGTGTGTGGATGTGTGTGTTTTGTTTAAAACAACAACAACATTAATAACCTTACAAATAACTATAGAATAATAATAATAATAATAATAAACACATTTTCATAGGAATAATAATAATAATCTGCTAAAAACACCTTAGATGTAATAATATGGGGAGGGAGAGGGACAACCTTAATTACGGTACTTATGCCGCATTGCTATCATTACTGTTATTATTTATTAATATTATTATTATTTTATTATTTTTGTTATTATTTATTATTGTTATTTTATTATTATTGTTATTACCATCGTAATTATCTTAAAACCAGACTCCGACCGTTAGGTATCAAAAGGAATGAATGAAAGAATGGATGAATGAAAGAATGAATGAAAAATGAATGAATGAAAAACAATGATTGAATGAATGAGTGAATGAATGGACGAATGAATGAATGAATGAAAAACAATAATTGAATGAATGAGTGAATGAGTGAATGAATGGATGAATGAATGAATGAATGAATGAATGAATGAATGAATGAATGAATGAATGAATGAATGAATGAATGAATGAATGAATGAATGAATGAATGAATGGATGAATGGATAAATGAATGAATAAATGGTTATATAAAAAAAGAGAAGATTTAAATTATAAAAAAAATAATTCTTCATTATAAATATGAACAATCGCCTAAGTGACAACACAACACAATTTACGATGAGTATGAATCATCATAATGTTACTCATTAAGTTGTCAACTTTCACGTCAATAGTCAATCGACCAACCAATCAATCAAACAATTAACCATTCAATCAATCAATCAATCAATCAATCAATCAATCAATCAATCAATCAATCAACCATTCAATCAATCAATCAATCAATCATTCAATCAATTAATCATTAAACCAATCAATCAATCAATCAATCAATCAATCAATCAATCAATCAATCAATCAATCAACCATTCAATCAATCAATCAATCAATCATTCAATCAATTAATCATTAAACCAATCAATCAATCAATCAACCACTCAATCAATCAACCAATTAACCAATCAATCAATCAATGAACGAATCAATCAATCAATCATGCAACTCTGCATATTTCTTATAAACGTCTAGGAACATCTTCCTACAGACGGTTTTGGCCTTTAGTTTACTGCACAGCAAGAAACAACCTGCCATCTTTCGGTGTAAACTGTAGGTCTCCTCTGGCGGAGGTGTCAGTCTGTGATTAGTTGGTTCATTTGAATGATTGAAAGAATGAGTAAATCAAAGAAAGAATGGCTAGACGAAAGAATGAATGGATGGATAAATGAATGAATGAATGAATGAATGAACAAACGAATGAATCAATTGATGAATGAATGAATGAATGAATAAATGAATGAATGAATAAATGAATGAATGAATGAATAAACAACGGACCGATGTTTCAACATGACAGGTATTAATTCATGAATTCTCCGGGCCGTACTCTGGGCCCCGAAATCAAAAGGGTCATCCTTCGAGAATGCCTCCCCCAGTATCATCACTGCGTCCACGTGGGCATTCTCCATTACCTGATTGGTTGGTTCATCGATTGATTGAGTTGATTGATTGGTTGGTGATTGGTTGATTGATTGACTCATTCATTTGATTGGTTGATTGTCCGAGATACATTGGATGATTGTTAGTTAGTTGACTGAAGCCAGCCAGTCAGCCATCAACCAACCAGCGGCTTATTGGTCAGCCAATCAATTAAGCTCTCAGCCAGCCAACCAACCCTTCATCCAACCAATCAGCAAGGTTCTCAATCAATCAACCAGCTAATCAACCAATCCATCCTTTAACCAACTAACCTACCTACCTTGCTTTCGAACCCGGTAAGAAACTTCATCTTCCTACTCATCTCTAGGACGGCATCTCTATCGCCTCTAGACGCTGACTCGATCAGTTGGATGTAGGGGTCGGTGAATTTCAGGTCAAATTCTCTACTGGCTCCAAAGTCTATCAAGGATATCTGTTGAACCAGTGGTGATGGTGTGGTGCATTGTGGTGATTGTGTAATTGTAAATGCTGTGTATTTTGGTGGCTGTGTAATTGGATGATACAGTCTAAATGATAGTGTGACATTACTGAAAATTGCGAAATAGGATGATGCGGATAAAGTGATAAACTTGATAACATTGACATCATCATCGATATCACAATCATCTCATCATCATCATCATCGTAGCAACATCATCATCATCACTACCGACCCGTCCGGTTTGTTCGTCGTAGAGAAAGTTGCTCCAGTTCGGATCCGTCTGCATGAACCTGTAGATGAAGACCTCGTTCAGGCAGAGTTCCAGCAACTTCTCACAGATCTGATGACGTCATGATGACGTCACGATGACGTCATGATGCGATGATATTAATAACAATAATAAGAGTAATGGTCGCGACCAACAGGTTTGAAGGCGAAAGAAGTTTCAAGTTTCAGCGCGTGTTTCAAGTGACGTTTAAGAGAAATAAAAAAAACACCATCACATCACAATAATATACAACCATCAATCATCATTATCATCATTATCATCATCGCAACCTGGTTTCTCAGCTCCTGCCTCTGATTCTCAAGGACATCCAGGGACACGCCTCTGACCAGTTCAGTGGTCAGTACCTCCTTTGTCGTCACCTCCCATATCACTTCCGGCACGTAAAAAATTGGGTCATCTTCTAGAAGTGACCTAGTTTCAAATGATTGGTGGTTAGCTGATTGATTGGAAGTTTGAGCAATCAAGCAACTAAGCAACCGACTGACCAACAATCAACCAACAGCCAGCCAGCCAGCCAGCCGACCAATCAATCGATAAACCAATCAACAGATCAACCAACCAACCAATCAATCAACCAATAGACCGACCGACAGACCGACCGACGAAACGATCAGCCAACCTAAACTTCTCAGAAGCTCTAGCCTCTCTAACGTAATCACACTCCCAGCTGAGTTCCTTGCGAGCGACTTTCAGTGCCACATTTGCATACAGCCCTTCGTTTCAATGAGCGATTGACGGTGAGTGATTGAATGAACAAATGAAAGATTTGGCAGATGAGTGAATGACTTAATGAATGATATAATTGATGAGCGAATGAACGAACGAACGAATGAATGAATAGTACGATGAATTAAATGAGCAAGCTAACAAAATAAAATTAAACATTTAGTGAAAAAACGAACAAACAAACGGACCGCAAACAAACAAACGAACAGACGAACGAACGAATGAACAAACGAATGAACCAAGAACCTTCTGGAAGAACTTGTGAGACCTTGAGAAGTGACATTAAATTATTGATATCACTGTTGATGCTGTTCGCCACACCAGGGTATTGGATCTTCACCGCAACTGGCCTGCCATCTTTGATCACTCCCCTGTGCACCTGGTTGGCCAGTTTTCAGTTAGCTTTCAGTTGATTGGTCGAATGAATTGTTGATTGATTGATTGGTTGGTTGGCTGATTGATTGATTGATGATTGATAGCAGCAGCACTCAGCCAGCCAGCCACCTGACCAATGGACGCCGCAGCGAACGGTACTGTATCAAACTCAAGAAAATTTTCCCGCCATTTCGGTCCTAATTCTTTAATCAGCACACCCTAATTGGTTGATTAATTTATTAGTTTATCGGTCGATTGATTGGTTGGATGCATACAGAAGTGGTTGAATTATTGACTAATTAACCAATCAATCAGTCATCGTTCAGTCAATCAAACAATCCTTCAGCCAGTTGAATAACCTCCATTTGAGACATGGGCATAAAATCTGCACTCTGCCTCACCCTCTCGAATATCTTTTGCAATGATGGATTGATTAGTGAGTTGTCTGAAGCGGTGAAACAAATGAAAAAAATGGATGAATGAATGGTTGAATGAATGAATGAAGTATGGATGAAAGAATGAATGACTGAATGAAAAATCTAATAAAAAATAAATTAAAAGCTAAAAAATGAAAAAGCACATGGGTGAGACAAAGTAAGCAGCTAAAAATGGCCATCATAGTAACAGCATTAAGTAACATCAGCACATCCCTACTTATCTACACACTAAATTACCCACTGACTTAATTACTTATTACCTTGTATACTAAGCATTTGTCCTAATTTTAGTGCAGCCCCTCTAACTCTACACAGAGTGTTGACAATTCTTTCGGCATTGGCCTCCGTCAGTAAAGGATTGCTGTCCAGTATGGCCCCACCCTGTCTGCCTGGTCATGAAAAACAACCATTGGAAATTAATAACTAGAGTTAATTAATATTAATGAAAGAAGAGAACCAATTAATCAGCCCCAAACCAGCCAATCGACCAATTAAATAATTAATTAATTGATCACCAAGCTAAAAAATAATCAACCAATCAATTAATTAGCCAAATAATCAGCCGACCAATCACCTGTCTTCATTCCTAGACCTCTCAAAGCAAGTTCAGACAATGTACCAATAGCAAGACCTGCACCTAGGCCTAACAACAACGCAAATAATTATCAAATAAAATAATCATTTATAAAAAAACAAAAATATATATATTTTATAATATTGGCAAGTAAATACAAATCTATAGTAATTTTGAATTTTGTCAATATGTGTGTGCGTGTGTATGTGTGTGTGTGTGTGTATGTGTGTGTGTGTAGGTGTGTGTGTAGGTGATGCCATTGCCAGCCCCAAGCCAAGCCAACAAACTTCCAAAACTGACAATCCTGCCAACACGAGATCCAGGAACTTTACTCTCTTTGGATTTTTTAGTTATCTATAGAGAGAGTTAAACAAGATAATTATAAACAGTTTTTAAAATTGTCAAATAAAGCTTGGCCAAAAGTGAAAAAGACAAGATTAAATTGAGAAATGAAAAAATAATAAAAGTGAAACCAAAAAACAGAACTGGAATAAAAGATCAGAAAATGAAATGAAAAGTAAAACAAATTCTAACATCTGGGGCATCAAATTTATCAGCAATGGGTTTGGATCTCTTTATCTTTTGACCTGCTCCTCCTGATGCTTGGATACTTTTAGCCTTCTCATCTTTGGTCTTAGTACTAAAATGTCTTTTGGAGTTTATATCACTGTTATTAGTTATGTTTTTAAGGATTGTTGAGTCTCCGAACTTGGCAGTGCTAGTGTTACTACTGCTGATGCTGCTGTCAGTGTTGCTAAAAAAAGTTTTTTTATTGTCAGTTCTGTTGAATTGTGTCGCTGTGTGAGTTGTTTTATGATCATTGGGATTAGAGGAAATGGTGCTGCTAGATTTAATAGAAGTCTTTCTTGAGAAGCAGTCACTGGCTGCAACCTCCAACCTTTCTAAAATATTTTTAGAAACCGGCTTCAAACTTGAATTGTTCCACCAACAAGAACATTCCCTCAACCGGTGTTCTGTTATGGTGGTTCCTAATTTCTTTAGGCCACGAAACACTATAGCGACATCATTCAAATAAGACATATTTATTTATAAAATAAAAAAAAAATTTATACAAAATGTGGACAAAATGATTTAAAAACGAACAAAATTAAAACGGCTTATTCTCTTCTATTAGTTCAAATTCAGTCCAGATATTGGGCAATAATGTGAATGCTTAAAAGTTCACTTTCACAATTTTAATGACTAAACAACGCAGCAGAAATTAAAATAATCGATATTTAAAAGTGAATCAATAAAATGCTTCAATCTCGATTATATAGATTATTTCAACAATTGTGAACATTTGCTATAAAATTTTATAAAAATTGTCCACTTTTCTCGTTAATTTATTAATAGCATTTTGTTAATTTGCATCTAAAACGTCAGAAGTTTTCTCAAACATTCAGACGCGTTATTTTACTCAAATAAAAATTGCTTAAAATCACCAGATAAGCAATCAATAAATTCATAAAATGCTGAAGATTGACGAAATTACTAATTGGTATCAAATTTGTTCCCAACGCCATCTTGTGTATAGTAACAATGGAAGGCGTTGATCGGTGCTAGCTATCCGTTCGTCGGGGCGGTGGTGTTAGTTAGGAATCAAAATTTGTTTTTAGAGGAAGTTAAATATCTTAAATTAATCATTTAATCCTAAAAATTGATTAGATTTTTTTTGTAGGAATTTCTATTTAGGCATTTGATGAAAATTAACTTTATTCATTAGTAAATCTACTTGTTTGCGTATTTAAAATTAAAGTGCGCACTTGCTTAAAAGTGCGCAGTGCTTAAAGGTGCGCAGTTTCGTCTGGTCGTTTGATAACTTGACGGCACGACTTCTTGATGTTCTTCCCCCAATCTATTCGGAAAGTAATTCATCTAAATTCAACCTATGCCAGCCAATTTTATATCATCTCAAAAGTGAAAATCTCAAAATGTCCCCATCATGTTCATAATTTACGTTTGAGGCACGTGCGTGAATTTAGGATTTGATCCTTCTGATGAGAGTTTTAACAACGGAAACGAAATACAAGTCATTGATTTAGCTACGATTTTTGAAAATTCTAAATTAAATTGAATTAAATGTTCTCTCCAGCCAATGAATCGTCATCATCTGAGCCTAATCTAGGCGAAAATAATATTAATTCCAATAGCAAAACCGTTCTAAACCATCGTGGCGTCGTCAATAAATCATTTAACAGTAATAATTTAATTGTAAACAATGGAGGAGCCCTCACTCCAGACATCAAATCATCAAACAATCCCTTATTCTTGGAAAGCAGCCAAAAGGTATCTTCTGTCATCATCAACAAAGTAGGAAAATATATATTATCTGAGAAACCAGATAGTGCTGTTTTATTAGGTTCATCAGCGTCATTTCAGTGTCAGGCTTTAGAATTTGAAACAGGCTGTGAATTCATCTGCAAGGTATTTGTCACATTTTACCAACATAAATAAATTATTGGTTCTTAATTAATTCTATCGTATCAATTTTTCTATTTTTTTTAATCAACACTTAATCCCTTTTTTGTTGCTTGTTTTTAATGTTTTGATGGAAATTAAACTGAACCATAACAAACATACCCACAGATCACCCCAATATCAAATTATAGGAAGTTTTTAGAGCCCTATTGGGTAGTAGGTAACCATGAGAACATCAACAACATCCATGAAATTATACAAACCGAAAGCTTAAGTTACATCTTCTTTAAGAAATCTTCAGAGGACCTACATAGCTACATTAGAAGGAGATCCAAGTTAAAAGAGGATGAAGTATGCTGGCTGTTCACTCAAATTGTTTCAGCTGTTAAACACTGCCATGACAATGGTGTTGTACTAAGGGACCTCAAGTTAAGAAAATTTGTCTTCCAAGATAGTAATTGGTGAGGAGTGGTTTTTTTCATTCAGTACACTTTTTGAAAATGTTCTGTTATTCAAGTTGCATGTCTTGATTTAAAATGTATTTCTTTTTTTATTTCCCAAGCACTCACCTCCTTCTTGACAACCTTGAAGATTCCTGCATACTAGCTGATCAGAACAATGACCTCCTCACAGACAGACATGGCTGCCCAGCGTATGTCAGTCCTGAAATCCTCTTCTCGGTTGGAGGATATTCCGGAAAACTGGCCGACGTCTGGAGTTTAGGAGTTATTTTCTACACCTTCTTGGCAGGGAAGTACCCTTTTCATGATTCAGACGTCGGGGCTTTGTTTAAGAAAATCAGACAGGGGGTGTATCCTGCTCCGGTGGGAGCCACAAGCAAAAGCAAATGTCTTCTAAGGAATTTATTAAGGGTTGATTCTTCTGAGAGGATGGGCATCGATGAGATATTTGCACATCCCTGGTTTCAGGGTAGAAATTTCCAGAAGTTTGAAAGGTGGTCTAAAACACGTAGGTCCGCATTCAGTGAAGCTTCTAATAACACTGTTTATAATGCTGACAACATGTTTAGTGCATACAATACTGCTAGCAACCAATCTCCTTATAACCTATCCAATAATAATATTAATAGTGGTGCAATCAATAGTTTCTTTGGTATCAACTCAGAAAGTCATGTAAACAACAACAACCATAACAATTACAATAATATTAACATGAATTATGCTGCAAATAATAGTACGAATAGTAATTATAATAATATTAATTATGGTCAACAAATTCCTAATGATGATGTCACAAATTCCACCAACGTACCTATCTTCTCACATGTAGATAGCTTGTCTGTTCGGCCTGAGAAATCACTTTCCTCTCTAAATGATCACTCACTCTCAAAGTTGGACCAAGTGGTTCCTGTTTTTGATAAAGAGGACAAGTAATCTCTCTCTCTTTCTCTGTTTTTTTTCTATATCTCTCTTTTTTTATAACTTGTTTTTTCTTTTTACCTTCTACTTTTCTTTTTTCCTTCTACTTTTTCTACATAACTCACTTTGTCTCTATCTCTCTCTCTTTTTCTCTCTTAGTCTGTCTCACTTACTCTTTCTTTTAGGGAATGTAAGATCATAGAAAACAAATTAGACAGTTTAATTTTCAACGCTTATCTGTACGTAAAGTTAGAAATGTAAAAGAATAAAGATTTTAAGTAAAGGGGTAATGAATGGAAATTGCATTCTACATACATCTCATATTGTTTTTGTGTTTGGGTTTTTTATTGTTTTATGTTATGCGTTATGCAATCTCTCTCTATCTATCTATCTATCTATCTATCTATCTATCTATCTATCTATCTATCTATCTATCTATCTATCTATCTATCTATCTATCTATCTATCTATCTGTCTGTTTTCCTATCTATATCTAGCTATGTCTATCTATATCTAGCTATATCTGTCTATATCTATCTAACTATATCTATCTAGCTATATGATATTGTTACTATAATATGCATCTTTGATTTGGAATTAAGGATTAACCAACAAATTAAAAGAATAAAGTGAGAAAAATTTTTTTAAATATGAAATATTTAAATTGTTCAGGACAAAAAAATGTTCTGAGAATCCGTCAAATCATTGATGTTTATTTTTTTTACTTTTTGAGGCTAGATTTGGTTTAGTTCCAGATGAACAGACCAGAAAATTCCGTGCTTTTACCAAACGTATTAGTAGAAAGGGTAGCAGCGGCAGTATCGCTAGTAACGGTTTACTATTGTTATTTACAAATGTAGTAGTAGTAGTATCGTTGTAGAGTTACTACTAACTAGTTGAGTAATGTCTCCTTGTTTGCTTGTGCTACTGTCACCTTGAAGCTAATAATTCTTATGTTATTAGTGTTTTATTAATAATATAATTATTATTAGTGTAATTATTGTTACGATAGTGAGTGTACAATTGTAGTTCTTAGTATGAATCATTAGTGTTATCCTGAATTATTATGAACTATTATTACGAATTCTATTTATAGACAAAGGCCATTTGAATGATTTGATTTTTCTCTTTTTCACGTTTCTTAATTTATGATGAATTATGAGAGAGAGAGAGAAAGAGAGGAAAAAAGAATGAAATTGATAGTGAATCAGATATGAATTATTTCTGGAAGTTAATAGAATGTGAGGTAATGATGGTGTTTAAGTTATAACCATTTCCTTACATGTTTGTATATAAAGATAGATATATATGTTCTGTGTTTATACATATATATATATTTATTTATTTATACATTCATAAATATATATTTTAATTATATATATATATATATATACAAGTTTGTGCGTATATGTGTGTGTGTGCGTGTTCGCATGTAATTTGTGTTTGTATGTAGGTCCGGTAAATGATGTGATGCGTGAAATAAGTAAGATTTAATTTGTTGTTGTTGTTGACTATAATTCATTTTAAATGTTGACGCTGTTGTTATTGTATTTATGAGCAAGTGCTGCGGATGTCTGTCGCGTTTTGTTTCCTTAATCCGTCTTTTTTTTCTCTGTTTTTCTAGTTTTGTTTGAAAAACTTGGCATTAATAAATTATCCGGTGTCTGTCTGTCTGCCTGTATCTGTATAAGTATGGTTGTGTTTGTATGTGTTTATGTATGTATGTATGTATGTTAGGGTATATGTACGTTTCTGTGTTCATGGAGTGGCGTTTGTACGTGAGCTAGCGTGCGTCTGTGTTTGTGTGTATCTTTGGGTTAGTTTTTGTTGAATTGTTTGTATTCTCGTATTCTTTCAACGTTTGGATGATTTGTTGATTGTTTGATTTTTCGCGATTTGATATGATTTTTCACTGTCTTTTAGTCATTTATTTTGGGGAAGATCATTTTGTTATTCATTCATTTGTTGTACCATCACTCATTCATTCACTCACTGATTCATTCATTTTTTTATTCATTCATTTATTTCACGGCAATTGTATTCATAATAGTTACTGTGCTTATGATTACCTATATTCGATTATAAATGGATGGCCGGTTCTGAGTAATTCATAAATTTTTAGCGAATAAACTTGAATCCTTCTGTTTCGTCATCAATAATAATAAGAATAATAAAAATTAATATGTTATTATTGTTGATGTTGCTATTATTATTTTCGTTTCCCTTGATATGTGTGTGTGCGTGTGTGTGTGTTTCATTTGATCAAGTTGAGGCATTATTCATCTATCTAACTAATGAACAATATATATATATTTATTTAGTTATGTATATATATATATATATATATATATTTGATTATGACTTTCAGAAATGCAATTATTGATGAAAATCACGGCTTCAACTAACTAACGCCGAACATGCAGTGATTTTCATCAATAATTTTATATATATATATATATATATATATATATATATATAGTATGTACATATATATTAGAATATATGTAATGTATTTGTTGTTGTCATTATTGTTGTTGGTTGTTGGTTGTTGTTGTATTGATTTTTAATTAATTTAACTCGCTGCAGACGGTTTTTATGGTTCTACCTTTTTTGTTGTTCATTCATTCATTTGTTCGTTCGTTTGTTCTTCCTTTCATTCATATATTTTGTTTGTCTTTTGTTGCTATTTCATACATTCATTCATTTTGCGGTTAATTCGTTCATTCTTATATTTATTTCTTTGTCTATTCCTTCGTTCATTTACTTCTCCATTCATTCATTCATTCATTCATTCATTCATCGGTTCATACATTTGTTCGTTCATACATTTGTTCGTTCGTTTATTTATTCTTTGGTTCATTGATTAATTTATTAACTTCCGTTCATTCGTTTGCATTCTCAAATCTCTTTTTCATTCTTTTCTCTATTATTTGATGTTAACCATTATTATTATATTATATAATATTTAACTCATATTTTTGTTATTACATTTATTATTATTATCGTTGTCGTTATTATTATTATTTTTTATTATGGTTTATAGTTATATTGTTATAATTATTTTGTTCGTAGATAGGATACTTCTATTTATATGATTTTTGTTTCATGTAAAATGTTTGGCGTCTGTTTTATTTAAAATATTGATGATGATGTTGTTGTTGATGATGATAACGATGTTTTTGATGGTGTTGTTGTTATTTTTATTGATGTTGTTGTTGTCTTTTTTGGTTCATCTCAGGATTTCAAATTTACAATAAAGTAAAACCGTGTTTTTGTGCGTGTGTATGTATGTTTGTGTGTGTGTGTGTGTGTGCGTATGTGTGAGTATTTGTATATTTGTCTAGTGTATTTATGGTATTTTTGTACGGTATTTGTATTTTGTGTATGCCTCTTATGGCGGGTACATTCGTTATACTTCTTGCACGGAACTTGTTTTCCATGTATGTGTGTGTCTGTACGTACTTTGTATACGCTAATTAATTAATGATATTTTTATACAATACGAAGATTCGTTTTTACTACAACGATTAATTGTTTATTTATTTTTTAGTGGCAATATTCAAAATATTTTGTAATTATTACTCAACATAAACGCTGTTGACGTTACTATTACTGCTGTTGCTGCTACTACTACGACGACGACGACTACTACTAATGATGCTGCTAATGTTGCTACTACTATTACTACTAAATCCTTTCCTTACTTACTATTACTACTATTATTGTTGGTAATGCAATTCTCTTGTTGCTACTACCACAATTGTTGCTAAATTACTGCTCCCACTACTGCTAGTACTACATAGTAACTTGTTTTATTTTAATTTCGCAGTATTGTGAAATTTTTTACACTAGCCTCTCGTTATAATCTTTGTTTCATGTACAATACATGTGTCCTACTGTACATGTATGCATATATGATTTTCTAAATAGTTTTATGTTTTCATTGCTTATTAATGCACTAAATTATATAATTTTTAACTATAATTCGGAACAAATTTATTTACAGGTGTACTCAGCACTGATGTACTTGTGTGTATTCATTTACACGTGTACTCGGTACCCACGTGATTTATTTACACGCGTACTTTGTACTTGTAATAATAATTCTTAATAGCCGTTGTTTTTATAATTTATGTCATCATCGTTAGATCGTTACTTACTATGATATGTCGTTTTTGTAACAATTGAAATGATTTTGCCAGCATTGTTTGCTTTCTTGCGCTACAAAAATCAAGAAAAATTATTTTAAATTACAACATTGAGCTCAAGCCATAGTTGGATTCAATTTCATCATCATCCTGCAATGAGTAATGACGAGACGTTGACCAGCTATCAACTGCAGACCCGCGCAAATTGGAATAAATGAAGATGGCTGGTCTCTAGCTATATGAGAATTCTGGTGAAGTTGTCAAGTCTATAAGCCCTGTTTTCATTGAATGCAAGTAAATTGAGGTATGCAAACAGTCAAAAATATTCTTAAAACTAAATTTGTCATTTTATTTTTGAAAAGAAAATATTGTTCAATCTTCCGGAACGGAGGTGTCAAATATGGAAGGAGTGCTGTTGAAAAGTTGAGAAAATTCGATCGCTCATACATGTGTGGCAACTCTTTAGAGAGTAAGTAAATTAACGAAGCATTTCTAAAACCTACATTTAAAAACATCGCCAATGTTTTCTCACGCGATTCTGAATAAAACCAATTCGTTCATCCATTGAACGGTGTGTGTGTGGGTGTGTGTGTGTGTGTGTGCGTGCGCATCACAACAAACAACAATGTATTTGTGTATGTTTTTTTTCATGTGTGTGTATAACAGTGTTCGCACGTGCAATAAAACGGAGCTCTAAAAATTTCTCTGTAATTAAATTATAACGTTTGAAACATCGGTCCAGATAAAACCCATGGCGTAAATTTTTATGGCGGTCGTCATCATTATCATCCTCGTCCACACCACCGTAATCATTATCATCATCATCGGCACCATCGCTATTATTATCACGATCTTCCAGCCAATCACAGTTTCCCAAGTTTCTTCTTCAAAAATGTAATGCACTTTGGGACATCATCGGGAAGGAGTTCTATTGGATAGATGGAGCACTGTGATGGGTGTCAATCAATCAATCAATCAATCAATCAATCAATCAATCAATCAATCAATCAATCATTCATTCAATCAATCAAGCAATCACTAAATCAATCAAACTATCGATCAATCAACTCACAGCAGTCTCAAAATGTTCCAATGACTTCGCGTATTCTTTTACCTTCCAACAGTCCCTAAGTTATTTTTACAGTTTTTTAATCGCATTAATTTTAAACAAACAGACAACCAACCGACCAATTAACCAACCAGCCAACTGACCAAACAGCTAAACAAACTTTGCTTTTTGCAAAACCTCCTGACAAGTTTTCACCAATTCAGCATCTTCTTCATCGTCGTCGTCGTCATCCTCTGCATTGCTGTCACCATTCTTTCTGTTTTGAAGATTAATTAAACAATCAATTGAGCAATTGTTTAAGTAATCAATTAATTATTTAAGTTGATCGACTAATTACTTAAGCTAATTGATATAGAAGGCAAACTCAAAAATTAATTAATTCCTCGAGAATCAGAATTTATATATTTATAAAAAAGACATTAGATGGCGTCAATCCTAACGATTCATTTTTCGTATGGACACTTGTTTTACTCCCTGATTTTTCACCATCGTCATCGTCCTCTTCTTCATCACCATCTTCGCCATCCTCATCATCTTCACCATCACTGATGACAGGAGCCTTACTCTTCCTTCTAACCATTAAAAAACTTTCATCACCGCCATCATCATCATCATCCTTGTCTTTCGTTTTATCGGTTTTGCCATCATCATCATCATCTTTATCATGACTATTATCATTATTAGCACTATCACCCTCATCTTTGATACTATCATCATTATTAATTGTACCATCATCATCAGCGCCATCATCATCATCATTATCTTCACTCATTACAATGAATAATGATTCGTCAACTGGTTCATCTACAATGCTTTTATTATTATTACTACTACTATTATTATTGTCGCCATTTTTATTATTGTTATTATTTAGCTTTTTATCATCATTAATATCATCATCTTTATCATCATTATCACTATCTTTATCATCATCATCAGTGTCGTTATTACTATTATGATTATTATTATGATTATTATTATTATCATCATCATCATCATCACTTTCTTTATTATTATTATTGATATTTTTATCTTCGTCGTCGTCGTCGTCCTCATTCAGAATGGTGAACAACTTGGACCTCCGCTTCTGAACCTTCACATAACTATCATTGAAAACCCGCCTAAAATCATCATCGTCGTCACCGTTGTCCCGTTCAGGTGCTAGCAAGCCTCGACCTGGCAGAACTAATGTATCTTCCTATATTTCATTGATTGATTGGTTGATTGATTGATTGGATGATTGATTGATTGGTTGATTGATTGGATAATTGATTGATTGATTAGTTGATTGATTGGTTGGTTGATTGATTGATTGGTTGGTTGATTGATTGGTTGATTGATTGGTTGATTGATTGGTTGGTTGATTGGTTGGTTGATTGATTGGTTGATTGATTGGTTGGTTGATTGATTAGTTGATTGGTTGATTTATTGATTGGTTGGTTGATTGATTGGTTGGTTGATTGATTGGTTGATTGATTGGTTGATTGGTTGATTGATTGGTTGATTAATTGGTTGATTGATTGATTGGTTGGTTGTTTGGTTGATTGATTGGTTGATTGATTGGTTGATTGGATTGATAGACTGAGTCGGGAAATAAAAAAAATTAATAAAATTATTGAATGAGAAAGAAAGAAAGAGAGAGAGAGAGGAGAGAGGGAGAGGAGAGAAAGAGAGAGAGAGAGAAGTTTTTAAACGAACTTTATTTTCAAAAAATAAAGTTTTTGAAACTAACAGAATTGAAAAAAAATCATTATAGAAAAGGTGAAATGAAACTAGTCGGTGGATGAATGAATGAACGAACGAATGAATGAATGAATGAAATCAAAAAATGAATGAAGAGATCTATGAGTAAATTAGTAATTAATCAATTAATTAATTAACCAATTTATAAGGAGTGAATGAATGAATAAATTAATATATAAATAAATAAATATTTAATCAAATATCTTTCGATTAGTTGGCGAAATGACCCACCATTTCGTAAGCTTTTCCGAACTGTCCTCCATCATCATCATCACCATCGTCATCTTTACGGACATCATCATCATCACCATCGTCATCTTTACGGACATCATTATCATCACGATCATCTTCATCAAGATCATTATCATCATCCTTACAATTGTCATCATCATCATCATCGTCAAGGTGGGCGACGTCACGAAAGTGTGGCGGTTCTTGTGGCTTCTTGTCGCTCGTCACTATGTTGCTGATGTTGACGTTTTTCTGTATATTGTATGTAAGTATTAATTTATACAATGCTTACAAAACAAACGAACGAACGAACAAACAAACAAACGAACAAACAAACGAACAAACAAACGAACAAACAGACGAGCAATCAAACAGACGAACAAACAAACAGACGAACAAACAAACAGACATACAAACATACAAAAAGACACACAAACAAACAGACATACCTACAAACAGACAAACAAACACACATACAAAACAGTACCAACCAAATCTAGCTTGTTGACGTCAATTTCAGAATGATTCTTCGGCTTTGTGGAACCTTTTACGACACAAATCATAATAATTATAATAATGTAAATAATAATAAAATAAATAATAATAAACTATTTTATTCATTCATTGTTCGCTTATTCATTCAATTATTCATTCATTCATTCATCTTTTAGACTATTTTCATTCATTTCAACTTCCATAATTTTTAAATTTATTTCAACGACAACAACAACAACAACAATGATGACGATGATGATGATGACCTTTGTTTCTTTCCCCGAGAACACCGCCCCCAGAGTAGTGGCCCATCTGCTTAATCAACATCTTGTTCTCCGCTGACTCCAGATTCAAACGCTCCATAGCCTGAGTTGCCTGGTGATGATGACGATGGTGATAATAATTCATTCATTTATTCATTCATTCATTTATTCATTCATTCATTTATTCATCCATTCATCCACGAACCATTTTCTCATAAAATTGATTATCAGCATGGTCCAGATCGTCGTCAACTGCGTCCCTGCTGAATACCAAATCATGATCACTGATACCGAAAAACTTGTCTGTGTGCGTGTGCGTGCGTGTGTGTGTGAGTAGTATTTGTGTGTGCTATATAAGTTTACCTATCCATCAATCAATTAATCAATTTATTAATCAATTAATCATTCATCTATTAACCAATCATCAGTCAACTAATCGGTCAATCATTCATTCAATCAGTTAATCAACCAACCAACCAACCGACCAACCAACCAACCCACCAACCGACCGACTAACCAACCGCCCAATCAATCAGCCAATCAACGAACCAACAAACCGAGTGAATAGAGGAATGCGATGTGTTCATCCAACTGTTCATCACTCTTCCTCATGTTCCTAAATTGCTCCTCCAGCTGTTTCTGTGTGTCGGATTCCTCCAGGTCACCAATCTCAAACAACTGCCTCAGTTCATCCTTCGAGAAGTGCCTATTTTTGGGTGTTGTTTGTGACGACGAAGGTGATTGTGCGATGTGTCTGGTGGTGATGGTACAGCTGTCGGTGGTGGTAGTGGTGATGATGACGACGTGAGGTGAGATGATGATGGCGTGTGGTGTTAATACAACAACAACAACAACAACAACAACAACAACAACAACAACAACAACAACAACAACAACAACGACAACAACAACAATATAATGACCTCATCGGATTTTTAGAGTCCTTCAAGGTCCTCCGACAAATGGAATCCTTGTACACCTGCCTCCTGTATATCTTTTCCTCCACCGTCCCACACGTGATCAAACTGATAATGACGTCATGATCACGTGATGATGATGATGATGTAATGATCACGTGATGATGATGATGATGATGATGTAATGATCACGTGATGATGATGATGATGATGATGTAATGATCACGTGATGATAACGTTAGCGACGATAGTGACGACGGTTATGATTGCCTTCTAGAACAGATAAGATTCATCTCGAAGCATCATCATCATCATCATCCTCATCATCATCATCCTCATCATCATCATTATCTTTATCACATATCATCATCACTTTCATAAACATCAATAGCATCGCGTATCATCATCATCACCATCACCATGGTCATCACCATCATCATCATAACTACTGACCGATATATGACCACATTTTTGGTCTGACCAATCCTGTAAGCTCTGTCCACGGCCTGGGAATCAGTGGCTGGATTCCAACTGGGGTCATCTGAAGGTCACCACGAGTTGAAAGGTCAAACTCAAGGCTCAAGTAACAAAAATCACGAGGTCAAGGTCGCAATTTTAAAAGGTCAGTAGTGGCCAAATTAAAAAAGTCACAAGTTGGCGATAGAAAAATTTTTAAAAAATTTGAAAAACGAATTTTTGAATAAAAAGAAAACATAACAAGCAATGAATTTTAAGGAATGAATTTTAAATGAATAAATCGAAAAAAAATCAACCAGCTAGCCAATCAGCCATCCATCCAACCAGCCAATAGACCAGCCAGTCTGTCAGCCAATCAGCAACCAGACCAATCAACGAACCCGCCAATCAGAACAAAAGACGACTAACATATAATAACACGATCGGCAGCAGTCAAAGTCAGCCCCACACCCGCCACTTTGGTCGTCAGTAGGAAGATGTCGTACTTGCCAGGATTATTTTGGAACTTGTTGATGATCTGCTGCCTCTCAGCCATCAACTTTATGGTGCCGTCTAGACGGCAGACTTTGTGTCCCTGGTTGTGTGTGTGTGTGTGTGTGTGTGTGTGTGTGTGTGTGTGTGTGTGTGTGTGTGTGTGAGTCTGTGTCTGGCCCTATCGGTGTGTAACCAACCATGAAAATTCAATTTTTCTATAAAATTTTAAAATTTTCTTCTCTTTTTATTTTCAGCATGAATTTATACATTTCTACAAAAATGTTCTCAATATTCAACGAATCATTCTCTATTTTCATCGAATAAATCTCAATTTTCAACAAATCATTCTCTTTTTCCAACGAATCATAGCCAATTTTCAACAAATCATTCTCAATATTCAATGAATAATTCTCAATTTTCAACGAATAATTTTCAATTTTCAACGAATCATTCTTAATTTTCAACTAATCACTCTCAATTTTCCACAAATTTATATCATCCGAACCCAGAAACTCGTCCATTTAAAAAAAACAAGTCAAAATGATACAAAAAAAGATGAGAAGCCGAGGTTGTTTCCACAGCGGCGACAACCACCTCCAGCTACTCACGAGATTGGTGACGATCTTCTGGATGATATCCAGGATCCTTCTACTTAGTGAGAACACCAGACACCGATGACCTTCCTGTTTCAGCCTCTGCAGCAACTGCACTAGGAACTCCATCTTCCCACACTCGTTAAGCAGGATCGAATCCGGAATTGTTGAGACGTTGAATGTCTCGTCGGCGTCTTCATCGTTGTTTAGACTGTGTGTGTGTGTATGTATGTGTGAGTATGTATGTGTATGCATGTGTGTGTGTGTGTGAGTATGTATGTATGTGTAATGCATGTGTGTGTGTGTGCGTGTATGTGTAGTGAGTGTTGGCGCGTGTACCCTACTAACCCTTCCGATCCCTCTGACACTCCCAGCATGTTACACTTCTTATTGGAAAACAGCCTCGGATGGTCGCATATCTTTTTCAGAGTCGTCAGGGCCACCAACGGCGATCTAGTCGTCTGCAGCAACTGAAAAGGTCGGTAGTAGTAAAAGTAGCAGCAGCAGCAGTAGTAGCAGCAGCAGTTGCAGCAGTAATAGTAGTAGCATTTGTAGTAAAAAAACAAAAATAAGATGACATTAAAACTAGAAACTTACCAATTTGACTTCTTCTGACGACAAAAACGCTTTATAGATTTTCATCTGCTCCTCTGAAATCCTCAACCAGCATATGAAATCATTCTTACGGGTCATTTTCGGCATTCTGTGTGCGAGTTTGTGTGTTTAAAGGTAAACCAGCCAGCCAACCAATCAACCAGCCAGCCAACCAATCAACCAGCCAGCCAACCATTCAACCAGCCAACCAATCAACCAGCCAGCCAACCAATCAACCAGCCAGCCAACCAATCAACCAGCCAGCCAACCAATCAACCAGCCAGCCAACCAATCAACCAGCCAGCCAACCAATCAACCAGCCAGCCAACCAATCAACCAGCCAGTCAACCAAACATCCAACCAATCAACCAACAAGCCAGCCAGCCAATCAACCAACCAATCACAGAACTAACTGTGGGGCATTAGAGCCTTCCTTACGGACGACTTGCGATTTCAATCGCCTCAACAGAAAGGGGTTGATGAGTTGGTTGAGTTCATTGCTCATCAGCTCTCCATAGATTTTCTCCTGAGCTGATGCATCCTTTTGGCGCGCCTTGATTGAATGATTGTTGGTAGATTGGTTGAATGATCAGACAATTGAAAGGATTGATTGATTGATTGATTGATCAGTTGATTGATTGGTTAATTAGTTAATTGATTCAGTGGTTAGTTGGTTTGATTGATTAATTAAATAGTTAATAATGTTTGGTACCAGATACAAACAAGCAAATAAACAAGAAAACAAGCCGACAAACAAACAAACACGCAAGCAAACAAACAACCGAAACAAAACATAAACCCTTACCAACCCTGATAATAGGTCCCTCATATAAATCACCAAAAGTCTTCAGGGTACCCAGTAGCTGACCCTGGTGTGTCCAATCAAATTGCGACCACAATTCCTGGGGCAAACGAACGTCTACATGAACCATTAGCAACATCAACAACGTCAACAAAACTATAACACAAACAATGGATATCGCAAACAAGTTAAACAAGCATAACAAACAAGCAAACGAACAAACAAACCAACAAACAAACCAACCAACGAAGGAACAAAACCAACTTTTAGATTATTCATGATGGGAGTGCCTGTCAGTAGTACTCGATGCTTGCTCATTATGCCGTGCACAGCTTTGGCTGTCTTTGCGTAGGCGTTCTTTATCTTGTGGCCTTCGTCCAGGATGCAGTAATCCTATTGGATGATTGGAGAGTAAATTAGGTCAGGTCATAGAAATTTTGTCGTAATAAAGATATCTTATTAGTTGACTGAAAGGAAACTAGATAAGGTCATAGAGTCAAATTTCACTGATAAACACTAATCTACTACTAGATAATGATCAAACGCTTATCAATCAAACAATCAACCAACCAACCAATCAATCAATCACAACCAACCAACCAACCAATCAATCACAACCAGCCAACCAATCACAATCAAACAACTGACCCATGTAAATGGTTTGCCGGAGTGTGTTTTCGACAATTCTTCATAGCTGGTGTCAAAAGAAAAGTAACAAATTATGAATACTATCAGACAGACAGACAGGCAGATTCACAGACAGACAACATACGAACCTATCGATAATGGTTTGTTTGTAACCAGACATATGCCAACCAACATTCAGACATATACAGAGAGACAAACAGATATACAAACAAACAGATATACAGACAGACAGATACACAGACAAACAGATACACAAACAAATAGATATACAGACAGACAGATACACAGACAAACAGATACTCAGACAAACAGATATACAGACAGACAGATATACAGACAGACAGATATACAGACAAACAGATATACAGACAGACAGACAGATACACAGACAAACAGATACTCAGACAAACAGATACACAGACGGACAGATACACCAACCTATTCATGATGGTATTGTATGTCGTCAGACAGACGCCACCATTGCATTGTACCCTGGTCAACAGTCGGACTTTCTCCCTCTGCGTGCATTGGTGGTACTTGTAGACATCAATTCCAGGACACCTGGGCAGTTTTGGGGTGTTGGTGGGGTAAAGAGTTGGGTTAGGTAATATCATCCATGTGGTTGTTGTTGTTGCTGTTTAGTGTTGCTGATGTAAATGCATGCGAGCAAACAAACAACAATAACACATCCACAATAGCACTACGTTCAGGCCACAACCAACAACAGACAACACAAAACCACAATAAACCACAACAACAACAGCAACTACAACAAACCACAATAGCAGCCACAACAACAACACCACGACAGCAGCAGCAGCCACAACAAACCACTTATGAAGTTCCTCTTCCCAATTAGTGATGAGTACAGGCGGAAGTACAATCAGCACGGTCCTGATCCTCTCAGAGTCAAACATTCCTGACAAGAAGCTAGCCACTTGCACTGTCTTCCCTAAACTGTTGAATGCAGTAATCAATATACTGCCTCTATAATTACTAATTACTATCAATCACTGAACCAAGTACAGTAAAAGAGTGCCTCACCTTTAACCTTTAACCTCATAAAAGCAAATAAAAGTAACCCCATAAAAAAATAGTGACCCCCCCTCAAAAAATAGTGACCACCTCCTAGAATCACCCACCCCATATCATCCCCAAGAATTCCACCCCCCCTGTCCTCTTTGAAGAGTTTAAACAGGAAGGAAACTCCGTCTCTCTGGTAGTCATACAGTTTTTGGGCGATATCTTTATTAATGTAGAAGCCATTGCCTATATGGAGCATTTGGGTCCCACCATTGGCCACATTGTTGTTGTTGTCACTGACGTTCTCTTTGTTGTTGTTGTCGTCATCTTCGTCGTCGTCGTCGCCGTTTTCTATCCTTGCTTTGTGTTGCTAGTGAAATAAATTAGCGTTTTACATGGTGCATTTTAATTATAAAATGATTAATAATATTAATAATCTATATCATTATTTATTTATTATTAATATTAATAGTTATTTTTATATGAGATTTATTGAAAACTAGAAATCACTTTTAGTTTGTCGATTTTTCTAATTAGTTTACTGTTTGCCGGATTCAGGGCCAGTGCTTTTTCAAAATTGACTATGGCTCTTTCCAGCTGTATAAATGAAATTTTTTCTCAACAAGTTAACAGAGATTAAATTTATAACAAAGAAAAAAAACTAAGGCATATATTAAGCTATCTATGGTTTGATGTCATCTAATGATATTAAGTTCTCCATGGTGTGATGTTATCTATGGTGTTGTTATTTCTTTGCTTATACAACTACTGTCTTAAAATTTACCCCATAGAAGTTAGAAGTACCAATAACCCACCCACATACACATACACACACACACACACAATTACACACAACTTAACACATCCAAATTATACATGTGTCGTGATACAAAAGTGACAAGAACAACTCAGGTTGTAGGCAGCTCTCCATTTAATTTATTTAATTATTACTACCACCATCTTTCCCTTTCAGGAATTTTAAAAATTTAAATAAAAAATAAGAGTAAAAGATTATAATTACTCTTACTTTACTATAAAACTAACTAAGACAAGTCAAGACATTTAAATTTTAAAAGATTACTTAATTTATTTCTTAAAAATAGGTAGCAAAAGCTTTGATTTTACTTACTACTCACATACCCCAATCTATATATTAATATATTATTTAATTATTTAAAATTTAGTTAGTAGTTAGTAAAATTAATCAAAATTTAAACAGTTAAATTTTAAAAACTTAAGTTGAATTCTAAACTTTTAAAACTTTTTTAAAGAAAAATTAATTTTATTTTTTAATTAAATAAAAAGACAACCTCGCCATCATTAGCTAACTTCTTAGCTCTCTCGCAATACGCAAAAAACTTCTCTCTATCGGACATTTTAAAAATAATTTTTAATGATTTTAATTTAAATTAAATTTATTGAAAGCAATAAATTTTGATTCTCCCGCTAAATAATTTTAAACCAGTCAAGTGTTTAAGAGAAGAGCAAAGAATCCTAAACATGGAAAGCCATTATACTTTTTATTCATCAAAATCCTTTACTTACTAAGAACCAAGGAGAGGCCTATTTACCAATATACAACACTTCCTTATGGGTTGAAGCAGGGATATGCCAAAAATCTCAATTTTTTCAACTTTTAATTATTTTCGATAATGTAGAATTTTATTTTTTTAAATTTATACCAAATAAAAGTAATTAATTACCACATTGAATAAAGATTAAAAAAATTATAATTTTAACATTTTAAATAAAAGCAATATTTCGCATTTAATAAATATACGATTGTAACTTCTGACTCGAACGATAAAAATCACCCTCCAAATCTAATCAGAAAGTAAGCTCCTTGTTCGACCGTTAAAAGTGAGCGAAGGCCGTTATATTTATTCTAGTTATGTGCTAAGAACTTTCTTTAGAAACCCATATCACAATTTACATAAATTTTGATATACATATATATATATATATATATATATATATATATATATATATATGTATGTATACCATTATATTATATAACCTACATGTATATAACAAAGTTTACATATAGATAGCACATATATAGGAAAAATTGAAAGAAATTTATGACAAAACGTCCGTTTAAATCGTTTATGATCTAGTAAAAATATTATTATCAACACATTATGGTGATAATAAACCACCATATACTTAGAAAAGTGAATGAGTTAAATAAATAAACAAAGATTAGCTTTATAAAGAACACATTTATTATGTAAAAATTTAAAAAGATACGTCGTATGAAATACATTAGGAAAAATCTATTTTAGTGGAAATGAAGAAGGAAAAAGAAAAAAACTGGAAAAAACTAAACAAACACTTAAAATATAAAAAGAATGTGCGAATGGTTACACATGAATAAATGTTTGAATGATTGATCGAATGAATGAATGAATGAATGAACGAACGAACGAACGAACGAACGAATGAATGAATGATTCTTAAAATATAAAAAGAATGTGCGAATGGTTACACATGAATAAATGTTTGAATGATTGATCGAATGAATGAATGAATGAATGAACGAACGAACGAACGAACGAATGAATGAATGAATGAATGAATGAATGAATGATTTTTTTTTGGACATCTACCATTGATGCATTTGAAGAAGAGGATCCATCAAAAGTAGCTTATCAGTAAAACGACAACAACCTTATCAGCAAAATACTTAGACAGAAACTCAGTGGAGAGCAATGAAGCTCAAGCATCATTATCAAATCAACACAAAAACGAATTCAAAGACCGCCAAAGAAGTCTTGGACTACTCCTGTTTGATAAAATATGTTCATTCCAATGCTGAGTGGCCTTCAACTGGTACAACCCATGTAAGGCCTGCAGTTTGAGTTTTCACACAAACCTAACATCATCAAATAGGGTACGTCGAAAACGCTTTTTGGCCATTCCAACCAATCTTCTGGCCCTAAAACAGTCATCATCAAACCAAATAGCTTATTTTTCTTGCAAAAAGAAAAAAAAACTACTGGAACCAATCCATTAGACATCGCATTGAATACCGACATGAACAATCTAAAAAGTTCATTAGATGAAGCCGTGATCAATGAAGAGAGGTCACCAAAAATGGAGAAGACCGTAGACGTAGAAAATGCCAATTAGTAAGATTGGCATTTTCTTTTAAAAGAATAAATATATGTGTATGTATATTAATATCCAACTGCATGTTCATAAAAACATCTTCATTGGCATATCCAATAAAGGCCTATTGGAACATTATTTAATAATTTGTAAACCATATTTAGATTTGTTGGCTCAACCTGTCAACAACAAGTTTACGGAACGTTGATGGATTTTGTATGCAATTTGTGGGAGGGTGGTGAGGTGGTTTTCACATTTTTGCTGAATATCTTCAATTCTTTGCTGAATATTTTCAAATTTCGCTGAATATTTTTAATTTTTTGTTAAATATTTTTAATTTTTGCAAGATAATTTTTTAAAATCACAACTTATTAAACGACCATATACATTATTTCTGACCTACTTGTTGGTGGGTACTTATTATTATCGCTTATTTGAAATATTTTTAAACATTTTTGATCATTGGTTGTCGCAAATTAATATATTATTTGCTACTAAGATAATAATTTTAAGTTAATTTTTTATTTTTTTATTGCATGTTGCGTTTGTCTGTGTATTTGTGTGTGTGTGTGTGTGTGCATAACGAGGACATGCTGAGTGAGTTACTTTTATAGCGAGCCTTGGGAGATAATTAGAACGCGCATCATTGCAAAGCAGTTTATGTCTTCAAGCAGAACAAAACAAACCGCACCAGCATGTGATATATTGTGCCGAACAATCATCAACTACAAGTCTGTGCTATGTAAGCTCGTATAATGTATATCTAATTGTATATATGAGCTGCTGCTATGCAAGACTGCGTAATAAGCTGTTGAATTGGAGGACAGCAATGAAATTTGTTTGATGTCCATGCTTTTAAAACGCAATCACTAATCAGCCGCTGGTATAGAATATCCATTCATTCATTTTTTCATTTGTTCGTTCATTCATCCTTCCATCGATTTATAATTTCATTTATTTATTCATTTATCAATATGTTTATCCATCATTCATTCAATGATTCGTTCATCCATTCACATACTTATTTATCCATCTATTTCTGGGCCTACATTCATTCATTCATTCACCCGCCCATGCATTCGTTTATTTAATTTAGGAAATGATATTGTAATATTGAAGTGACATTTTGTTTATTATTGCAGCAGTTTTTTGTGAAAAGGGAAGATCACTTGTTACTTTCCAGCGCTGCCACTGAAACAAATTTAATTACGATGTCACTAAATTTCTGCTTGGAAATAAACATTAAACAGTTGATGATAGAGTAGAATATTACCAACCACCCCTTCGTGGCAGCACGTCACACAAGCAGGCAAGCAGAGGGGGGGGATTCGTGGTGGACAAACTTTTTCTTCTAAGGGTCGCATTGGCAATTGCATTGTTATTATAGAACTGCATATATATATATATATATATATATATATATATATATATATATATATATATATACATATATATATATATATATATATATACACATAATACTTTTAGCGTCGTTAGTGGTGCTGCCGAGTTGTCGTACAGGCGTCCTATCGAGATTTAAATTTAAATTCATTCAAATAAGAAAAAAGTTTCAAAATCAAATCAAAACAGCATCAGGATGTTTTTAATTTTGCTAAAAAGTTACATCAAAATGTTAAACTTATGACACAATTTAAAAACAAACAAAAAGAAACAAATAAACAAAGAAACACAAATAAATGAATAACGTTTGAAACATTAGCCAGCACCTGAAGACTGCCAGCCCAGTGAAATGATGAAATTAATGTGTAAACAAACATCATCTCATTCCAATAAATTGCCAGCAAGGTTGCTCGTAATGTGCCATTTATGATCTCGATGATGTTAATATAATTTGTTGTTGTTTTTATAACGTTGTTAGTTGTGCTGCCGAGTTGTCGTACGGGCGTCCTATTGAGATTTAAATTTTTTTCTGTTGAAAATTTGTAAAGAATTTTAAAGACATAGTTTCAATGTTGTTGTGGGGTAGCTTCCAATGGATGTTTTTGATATGTTCAAATTATTCTGTTAGAACTTAGCTGAAAAATTATTGCTATTGTGTTTCCATGTTTTTGTCTGGTTTGAAAGTTACATACAAAATTTTCAGTAACATTCTTAAAATTGTAACGCACTTTGTAAATGTTGTTTCAATTTGAGTTGTACATGACAGGATATAAACAAACTCAGAATATTACCACACAATGTTGCACACTCGTTCAACACTTTCAACACTCACTACCACCACAGAACCAAAAAATTTTATGTATCACAGTAATTTGGGAGCAGTGGCACAAAAATTAACATTTTTTTTACGTTTTATATGAACGTAAAACTTTACCCGAAATCCATCAAATTATAGACAAATATCAAATTTCATAAGACAGCAGCCAACAATTTAATTAATTATAACATAAAAAATAGCCAAAAAATTTTAAACAAAATTATGAAAAAAATTCTTCAAAATTAATTTGAAAATTTTGAAACCACGTCCGCATAGAACCTGAGAACAAAGAGTAGAAGAGGAAGTTGGACTTCTCCCTGCAGACAGCATGCACAGCACAACCACCATCACAGCAGACAAAACATCCTCACGCTGATATGTTTGTAAGAGTGGTCCTGATTGATACGAACCAGACGACGTGGAACATTTTCATATTTTAATAAACATTTGTTTCACTGTACTGCTACATAATCTTGATACTTTAATTTAATTTAATCAGTGTCGTAATATTCAGTTCTGTAAAAATTCTTATGATTACCGGAGTTCGCTAGATTTTCTAAGCTCTCCAACATTTTCATCATCAACTTTGAAGATCCAAGACAACAGTTATGTCCTTCACAATTGTTTTAACATTGAAACAACAATGACAACAACATTCATAACTGCACCAACTATGTTTATGAATCGATGTAGAGTTGATGGTGATCCGACTATTCAATTCTGATACGTTTTGCAGATTTCTGATTTGCGGTAAATTTAAACTTAGTTGTTAAATCATGTAAAACACACATACAAACATTCACGTACTTATTAATATTTGATGTATTCATCCGAGATTAAACAAACAAAAGACAGTGAATAAAGAATCAAGAAATAATCATTAACGTATGTGAAGTCTCTAGATTCGGTGATCCAGATCTAAAGAAATTAGGTCACTGTAGGTCAGAGGTTACAACACCATTATAAGTGAAGAAGACAGCTGCTGAGCGTCTATTGTGTTCGTTGCATACCGCAATTTATACGAATTATCGTAGTGCGAATAAGTTAATTCTAAATAATTACGTTATTGGTATGGTATAAAATAAAATTTGCTACAAGAATTGTTTGGATATAACAAACAGCAATTGAAAACTGAACGCGATGAACAGGCACTAAACTCAAATTTGTGGTGCATGGAGTTGGAGATCATTCAATTATATTAAAGTTATATTGATATAACGTTCTATATTCTCATTTCATTAAACCGCTTATGTTATTTTTTAAAGTTGAAGAAGGACACCGACCAAATTATGTTCAAACATTTGGGTAATTTAACTTGATTCAAAATTGAAATTTCGCATCTTTTGATTTAAAAAACATGACATTAAACTTACTCAACCTAGCGAACCTTTAAAAAATATCAAGTTTGTTATAAAAAATTTCTGACAAATATTTGAACGGTTTATTCCCCAGAGCTCAGTTTAAGGGAAGAAGGGGTCTCTTGATTTGTGCGTAAAAAAATTTTTAAACTAACATTATGTAAAATAAAACATGATATTTTTGTAAACCTTTTAATAGGAAACTAATAAGAAAAAAATATTTTTTGTGTTGAAATATTATGCGTTAACAAAGTTGTTACCTGTTGATTATTTGAAAATAAAAATTAATTAATGTGAGAGAATAAAATATGCGATAATTGATTGAGCTGCCAGTTATAAAGTAATTTACAAAAAGTTACTTACGGAAGTAACTTTTTCATTCGGAAGTTGAAGGTGCATGTATTTTAATCATCAGGAAAATTGAAATTTGAGACACGTGAAATTCGGTGAAAAGTGATATTTGCAAAGTTTGAATTCATAAATTAAATCATTTGATTTATAACATTGGTTTATATAATTCTTAATATTAATAATAGTGTATTAAGCAAAAAAAAACTATACATGATAAAAAAATATTCTTTAAGAAAAATATTTGACAAAGTTTCAAAAATTTTTATTGACAACATCGTTGCTATCGTCACGAACGTTATTTTCAACTAGTGACTCAACATCATGGAAGTTGGATGATTTTTTCTTTCTTACCATAGCATGAGAGGCGTCAGTCGTACTTACAACTGCCCCCTCCTCCTCACTTACGTTCTTCTCGTCCGTATTCATTGAGGTTAGTTGATGGAGTTTCTTGCCGTTGCTGATGTCATTATTCTCCCAACCGTTGCCAACATTTTTGTCTTTGTGATCATTCATGAAATAAGTTTGAGGATTGTCATCGTCTATATTAAATTTTTCGTAAGGTTCTAAGAGAACAATTTCAACATCCGGCGCGAATTTATTTGATTTTGCCAAACTGTTTATGTTGGTCATTCGTTCCTCTTCGTTACCATCACATGTTTTAATTGTGGCCCCGGCACAGTCAGACTCTTGGTCCATCATTTCTTCATCACCAGCCTCGGAATGCCTTGAACCATCCTCAACGTTCAGGTTTGGATGAACGGCGGCACACATCTGACCCTCTTTATTATTTTCACGTACGATTTTTAAGTTTAACATCTTTTCATCGCTCATCTTTTCGACATTGACGTCAGCGTCAGATATGTTAAGAAAGGAGCCTAATGCAGAAGCTTCGCGACTGTTATTAAAATGTTGTGAGCTGTTGGACAGCATGTTCTTGCTTAAACAGTAGAGATAATATTGCGGTGAGAACGGTAGGAAATAACGCAGGGAAGCTTGGAAGAATGGGAAGATTGATGAAGTCAACGACGATGACACTGAGGACGACGATGAAAGAGAAGAAGATGGCGAAATATTCGACGTGGAGTGCTTGTAAAAATAAGGAAACAACGAGGAAGGGGCAGCTGATGATGAAGCTGAGGATGAAGCTGAGGATGTGATCGTGGGTGGCGATGATTGGGATGAGAAGGTGGGTGGTAGCGATGCAGATGTCGACATCTGGGGAATAATTTTATTTTCTTCATCGACGATTGAGCGAAAATTATTTGTTGGCCATTGATTGATATGGTTGTGGTAATAATAACGATGCTGATAAAATGGAAGTAGAGCATGATTTAACTTGGACTGCGTTTGTAATGATTTGTTAGCCGCGGTTGATGTTGTAGTAAATTGAGATTGCTTTTCATGGTAGTGTTGTCTGAAAATGTGCTGTTGCAGTTGCTGGTAGTACCAATGTTGTTGCAACTGTTTATGTTGCTGAAAATAACCGTGGTTGAGTTGCTTGGACGTTGGCTTCTTATTTTCTTCTGTAAATGCATCATAGGAAACTTGAACAACACTTTTGTTTTTTCTTTTCTTTGTCATTATATTTTGAAAGTTGTGATGATGATAGAACATTGATGTTGATGACGTCAACGGCGGTGAGGCTGCTGATGAGTTTTGTTGGTTCATAGGTGGAAAGTAGTTGAAAGATCTGCCGCTGATGTTATTGATCTCGTTCAGGCCGCTGTTGCTTATGAGGTATTTAGTTTTTCTTGGACCTCTCTCATGCTGGACTGCTGTAAAAATAAATATATTTAATAATAAAATTGCAAAATAAATCTTGTACAAAATATTGTCATTAAAGATACCGAAGAAGTTATGATAGAGTTTGCTAATAAAAATATTTTTAATTTTCACAAAACGTCAATTTGTTATTCAGCTACAATTTTCGTTCTGCCAGACGACTGGGTACACTGCAAGGCGATTTTCAAAAATATTCAATTCGGTTCAAAAAAATTCTTAAATTTGATTTTAAAAATAAATTGCAGTGCAATCTTATTTCTGAAAAAGCGTTGCACGTCTTCGTTGTTTTCATTAAGTTCTTGGTAGATTTCACTTCTGCGCAGAAAGTTGGACGAAGCAAAAGCCTGTGCAGTGGCAAATATTTAATAGAAAATTGCAAGATAACTCTTAGGAAGAGATGAATTAAAACACTGAATAGATAACAAGGCAGTTGTGTTTTCATACCTTTGTACATCTATTTTATTTCAAGGAGTTTTCCGAATCACTTTTGTGCACCCAATTTATTTCAATGATTTTTACAAGGGTGGATGTATCAATGAATTCTGTTTCGAGAATATAGAACAGGAAAAATATAAAACTATTTTAAAATTAAAGAAAGAACGTTTTTTTTTTAATTTATTTTCTATGTTCTCGTTTTATCGTAAATTACACTCCTGTAAAAATGTGTGGCACGCTTGATATTTTTTGGGAGTGTTATCAAGTAAGCCTGCGTGAGATAATTTTTCGTTATATTGCTAAAAATGCTTACTTTAAAAATATTTTTACATATTTTATTTACATAGATGTCATACTAATTACTTAATAAATTATTAAGCTGACGTGATTAACAACACCTAAGGATCAAAAGATGCAGAGGATTGTAGATTCAACTGCATATGTTAATTGACCCTTACAACTCTCGGAGCTAAATTTTATAATGCGATGGTCCATATATTTATTTTATACACATGAGTTTCTCGTAGTCACTAGAAACCAAATGTGTTGTTAGTTGAAAATTAAATTTTATTTTTCTACCATGTGGAACTGGTAGAGAGCGACAGTCTCAATAACAGCTACAAGGACTGAACCAATGAAATGATTCTGATGGCCAAATTATTTGAAATGATTGTTGAAACATCACTCAGCCTAACTGCTTCAAATGTTTCATGAATAATCAACTAGGATGTTCTATGTGTTATTTTATAAATAAAATTAACATTAGTAAAATTTATTTGAAAGCAATTTTTAAATTGAAGACAACTTAGAAATGTAACATGATAGGCACTTAAGAAGGATGAAAATCAACGGAAAACTTTTCATCGAAGCAGGTACATTCGGCTGTTGCAGGTGCCCGCTCGTGGATGCAAGACATATCGACTTCTGACGCACCGACATACACATTATATTTTGTATATGAACATCTTACATTCATATCTATTGTATATATTTATATAGTATATAAATATGCCCATGTGAATAAATTTTATATATATATATATATATCATATATACAAACGCATCATGCATATATATATATATAATATATATAGTACATACAGGTTGGAAGGAGACCATATTTTATATATTTTTATTACGTATATATATGTATATATATAGAAACTTTTGTCATAATACAATATATGGAGCGCATGTATGTCTGTATCTAATAATTTGACATTGTTGTCAATATTTTTTATGAGAAAAGTAGCAGGTGATCAAATTTGTATTCATGTTTTCATCTGAAAATATACTCTTAAAAATTGCATGACAATCTCGTTGATGTTTTTTTTTACTTTTCCTTCATTTTAATTTCGCATATTTTTTCTTTCCTTTCAATATCCCATCAACCATTATTAACAATTGTTGTAACAGATTACAACTTGGAAAATGATTACAACTGAACGATTTTATTAACAATAATTTTTTATGTATCGTGGTTGTCAAAAATAATAGTTTTTAATAATACTTAAAAAACAAATCAACCAAAATATGCTGCTGATAACTTTTGAAGTTTTGATCCTGGTCCTGAAAAACTTGGTTTTCTTGTTTGCTTCATTAAGTGCATATAATCATCGTCATCTTGTTATCCAACGGGGCGTTTTAAAATTCTGCAAAGCTTCTCCAAAAACTTTTTCAAACATATTAGTTTCTAAAAAATTTTTCCATATTATTATAATCAAGATTTGCTCATATCATCTCTAACTTCTCTAAATTTCTTCAAATCTTTTGAGACCTGCATTTAAACACTCATCCAACTCATCTTCCTCAGCAAACCGTCTCAACCTCATTCCTCTTTTTTCAAAACCGAGATCTACAATTAAATTTCAAATTTTGTCTTATCACATCAACACTGTGCATCTCTTTTTTCCACTTCATAAAATTTTCAAAATATGTCCCTCCACTTGAACCAACTCACCCGAATCCTCAGTGCCCCACTCGGCAAGCAAAGAGCAGTCAACTTTTCGATACTTTTTCACTTCAAATCTAATTTTACGGCAGTTACAGTGAGCCGAAACTCTCACACACCACATTTTAAAAACACAACAAACCCACTCCTTCGAACGCCATTCACAACGAACTCCGCGAATGAAACTCAGGCTCTCAATGTTAATCACGCAGCCTCTTTCATTGTTTTGTACCTATTAGTTTTTTATTCTTTAGAATAATAATTTATTTATATCAAACTAACTCATTTTTCGTTATCTTCATTATCGCCGTCACACCATCTTAAAAGTGGGAAATTAATTTTATCATTTTCATCATAATCATCATCTCCACATTCATCATTTTCATCATAATCATCATCTCCACATTCATCATATTCTTCGTCATCCTCGTCGTCTGCTTCATCAAACCGTTTCATAAATTACAAAATTGCTTTCATCGACCTCATCACACTATCTTGAAAATTAAAAATTGTTTGTGGAGGCTTTCCCCCGTCGGAAGTTGATGTTGAAAAGTTGAACTTCCGTCTGAAATTGTTTCATTGAGGTCTCTCAAAAAGATACACTCTCGCCAAAACTTTGCTTGAAATGCATTCAATTTGAAAATAAATACAAATTTTTTCTGAATGAATTAATCCAACATTTCTATGATGCACTGACACAAAATAAAAATTATTTTTTTTTAGTAAAATTGCTTCATTGTTCCATCATCTAGAAAAACAGAGTCGCAAAAATATTTAATCAAATTTCGTTGTTTGTATGGTTAAGCAACCTTGGTAACAAATTTGTTGTTTAATGCATGATTTAATATTTTTAAAGTTTTTATTAATTAAAATTCAATTTTAATCATCATCACCTCAACTAACTCGCTCGGCGTTTACCTTTATTATGCCAGCTCTCAATGCTATTTTATTTGCACACATTTGCATCATCGTCGTCGTTGTCGCCAGACTCGCTGCCATCATCGTTATCATCACCTTAAAAATCAATCCAGGTAAACACGAGTGCACTTGACAACAGAAGACTTGTTAACTGTTTCCATTCAAATCATTCACGTACGCACGTGCCAGCCAGCCAGCCAGCCAGCCAACGTTGAAAGCTTGCACGCACCGTCCATAAAAATGTTCACTCGCAACGACGTTTCTTCAAGCTCAGCCATGCCGCTTCTAATTTACAAGTGCTGAGTTGAGGAGTTATGAGAGACAGCCCGGCACTGAAGTATTATTAGAATATAATGTAATTTTGCAAACAAAGAGTCCTGATAACAGGTAAGGCAGCGTTTTACGATGCTGAGTCGCACGCAGTCATAAATGCTGCAAAAATATGAAGTCAAAGTCTACTTGTTTTACGATGCTGGTTTGCTGAGATTATTTTACATTTCAGAGCAAAAAAGTGTTTTTTTATTATTTATGGAATAACAACAACACAAACAAAATTAGACATCGAATAAATAACAACAAAGCAAATAATAATAACAACGACAACAACAACAACAATAATAACAAAAAAAATTAAATAACAACAGCACATATAAAAAAAGGCACGAAGATTTAAGTAAACATGACCTCAGTACTTTCGCATAAAGCGAATAAAAACCATTAAACACAAAAACTAAGCAAAATGGATGTAACAACAAAAATGGCAAAACATGAAAACATGGATGGGCAAAGACAAAAAATATATGAAATATCTTCTTTGTTCGATTAATCGACTTACATCGTGAGAACAAACCGCGTGGCTCAAAAAAGTTTAAAAGGCGAATGTGCGCGGTGTGTGTGGGGGTGTGTGTGTGCGTGACACAAGATTTATGAGGTAAATAGATAGATATAATAGAAATACGCTCATATTTCAAAGCATGTGTAAAAAAACGTAAAAATGCGTTTTAATTTACACTGCGTATCTTGACAAATAAATATCTACCCGAGTTGCATGGAACCTGAGGATGATTTGCAAACTCCTATTTATTTACAAAATTTATTTATGCAATTTTATATAAAATTTAAAAGGATATAAATATATCATTATATATATAATATATTATTTATGTGTATTATATATATATACATATATCATTATATATATTAGCGCAGTATAAGACGCAAATTCATTCAGCAAATGTCGTTCTCAAGATAAATGTTCAAAATGCCGTCCAACTGATCCTCAACCCACCAGATGATTTTGATAATAAGACTTCATTAAAGCATAATGGTGAAAACATCCAGAAAATAGAGGATTTTAAATATCTGGGTCCTTATGTAGGAACAACAGAAAAAGATTTGGACGCAAAAATCGCACTAAATAGGTAGCCTTCAACAAATTAAGACCGATCCTGATAGCACCAAAACTTGAAAAAAGTTCAGACTACGCCTCTTCAACGCAGCGTGCATTTCAATCCTTTTTTATGGTTGTGAATGAATCATGGACTCTTGATGGAAAACTAAAGAATTTGACATCTTCGTTCTAAAAATCTATAGAATCTTGTTTGGTGTCCAGCAATCGGAAGCACGCACTACGAACAGAGTTCACGGGGCAGCATGAAATATCAAAGGAGATATAAATCGACAACTCAAATTCATCGGTCGCAGTGGTGAACAAAACAAAAAAATGAGTCCGTGAACATATATGCGCTCTAGACATATAGATAAGGATGGTTGGAACAATCATATTGTCGCACTGAACAGCCCAGTCGATGATGATGATGATGAAGCAGAGGCACAGGCAGACCGCGTTTTTCTTACCTGGAACTAATTTCAAAGGCTTTAACTTTAGACCAACAAGTCAAGTAGTTAGATGCTAAAAATAATTGAGCTAGCAATAGATAAGGATGGTTGGAACAATCATATTGTCGCACTGAACAGCCCGGTCGATGATGATGATGATGAAGCCGCAAACAATAAACTGTACTCATTCATGCGCAAGTTTATAAAGTTGTAAGTGCGTGTGTATAAAAACATTTGTGCAAACGTGTGAATGAAATGATGTGAATGTGAATCAATTGAGCACCCAAGGCCAGCAACAAAAACAAGAAAACAATTTTTTATAATAAACTTACGCAAACAAAATTCAAACAGCAGTCAAAATGCATTCAAATCAGCAAATATTTTGGATTAATATTTATGTTTATAAGATCTTTATTACCTTGATTGTTTATGGATGTGTTTTCAAGTGTTTTGGATGGCCCCTTAGCAAATATTTGCATGGAACATATGGGGAACAAATATTTATGCAGTGTGGAAAACGTGTACATCTATGTACGTCAGATGGAAAGGAGAATTCATTTACAATTCTTAATCTAATTTTTTTTAACATTTACAATACAATAAAATAATTTGGCAAAGTGAATTAGCACAACGAACCATCTTTGTTCATGTTGACCAGCAGACATTTCTTCAACCTGCAGGCTCTGCATTGGTTCCTGTGCGTCCTATCCACGCGACAGTTGCCCTTCAGAGCTCCTTGGGCCTTGCACGTGTATGTTCGATTCTTGTGCACACTTCGCTTGAAGAATCCAGAGCATCCTGACGAATTCGAAAAAAATTTGTTTAAATATTCAGAAAGAACGATGAACCAGCACAGATTTGTGGTCAAAATTATTTATTTATTTATTATCAATTTAATCGTTTTCAAAGTGACATCCTCACCATCACAACTGTATATGCCGTAATGTTTGCCTGAACTTTTGTCACCACACACCTTGCATGCTATGTCCAGTAATCTGTCTTCTGCAAAGTAATATTTGTTGTAAGTTATTTTTGTTATTCTTGCTTTGAATTCTCGTTAAATTCATTGATAGTATTATTGGAAAAAAATAATTTGATTATTTTATTGCTATTTTTTAAATTGAACATTCTATCAATAATTTATTATCACATTTCGAACAGACAAACAATTAACAGTTATTATTGCGACTAAGCGTAACGTTGGAGTTTTGGACAAATATAATTGCTGCCTTGCACCTTCTACGATGTTGTGTCGGCTGCTGTGAGGTAGGCGCGCAAATGTAACATCAAATTTAATAAGCAGGTTATTTTTTGATCATGTTAGCTGCAAGCCTTGCAACATGATTCCATCCACACTTTCCTCATTTCAGACCAACCATTTAATTGATCGCATGTTTGATGTCAAATAATTCACCTTCCATCGCCCACCCGCCATTTTGTTATATCTCTTCAAGTCTTAACCCAACAACGCGTCATCTTAACTATTGAATTTTCTTAACTTGCGCCATCCCTTCGGGTATTTGTCTATTAAAAATTAAGATTATTCACGAAACATTTTTTCTATTATGGTATACAAGAAATGAATTTAAAACCATCTAAAGTTTCTTTTCATACAGCAAAATTTTTTATTTTACACAAACTATGCAAGAAGTCAGAGATTTGTGGTACATTCATTTTTAAACGAACAATAAGCGCGCGCACATTTGCACATGTTTTGTACTGTTATTATTATTATTATTATTATTGTCATCAGCATTATTATTGTTGTCATTATTTATTATTATTGTTGTTGTTGTTATTATTATTATTATTTCGATCGTTTTATTTACATTTTTTTAAAGTTTAATGAATGTGTTACGTTAAAATTTGAGAATGAAGGAACGTAGTAACGCACGTGCAGTCAGGCGAAATTTTGCTTGACTCGGAAATGGTCTTCATAGCAAAATGTTGACGATTTGTGCGACGGACAGATTAGACCAGTTACGTGATGTTTAACAAGCTGCCCCGACCACATAACATATCAGCAGCATTCCAAAAAATTAACCACCAATGTTAACGTTAGCAATTCTTTCCAAGCCAACTCAACTTATTCGTAGGGATTTAGATTTCTCGACAAAAAAAACGAAACGTCATCTCCTTGTTGTGAATGCACCAGGCATAAGTATCATTGCGTCAGTTTGGTTATAATGCCAAACACTTCCAAATACTTTTTCTTGAGTTGTCTGTTCAGTTTTTTCTGCCATCATACGTTTCTTCAGATATTCAACCACTTGCAACATGACAATCTCCCATCATTCTCATCGGAAACCGCGACAACAAAACATTTTTAATCCCAGCGGACAGCGATTACGTATGAGAGCAAACTAAATGCAATCAAGAATTAAAGGGTTAAGCCAGGTTGAACGCAAAACGTTTAATAGATGCTTTGCGAAGGATCGTCAGTTACGTCGAAATGAATGTTATTTGCGATTTTTGCTTGATATTGCTTGTGGTAGGACTTGAATGCCGATGGGAAATCCTTTAATTGACACGATACTTATCATGTCGTCATAAAACTATTTAAATTAGAAATGAAGAAAGTCAAAGTTATAATCTTTTAATTTTAATTGAGCGATAATAAAAAGAGCGTAAGTTCATATCAACTTTTCACGTGAAATAATTCAAAATAGTAGAATAAAATTAAAGAAATATAATTGAATGCTTTGAATTTTTCGACAGCAGCTGCGGTAGGAGGGAATGTATCAGTAACAGTTTAAGTAAGAGTTGCTGAGTGGAGGTCAGAAAAGTTTAATAAAATCATGTTGAATGTTTGCTGGCTTAGAAATTTATTGAAAAAAATTAAAGTCTATTTAAATGATAATTATTGCCTAGTTATTTTTTCTCAACTTGATTAATTTTTTCATTTAATTAGATGAAAAAGATTGACAGAAAAATAACAAAACGACAAAACACAACAACAACAAAAACAACACAACATCACATAAACAACAACAACACAACAACTACCTCTTCTGGTGTCGACGGTTTGCAACAACTTGTTGCCAGATATAACGGTGTTGTTGTTGCTGATGATATTGTTGTTAATGGTGATGTTGTTTTCTTTTATTTCACTGCTAAGAAGAATATCATTTTTTATGCTTTTTGTAAAATCATCAACATTGTTGTTGTTGTTGCTGTTGTTGTGGCTGTTGTTGTTGTTGCTGTTATTGTTTTGGTTGGGGTTAAAATTGTGGTTCGAAGTTGTGGTAAGCATTTGTATCTACTGGATGTTCGTTGTATGTGACAAACTATCAAAAACTTACAAAAGTTAATATGAATTTAATATGACATATTCGTAGTTGCAAGCAGTCAAAAAAGCACCGTCTCACAAAATCCTGAGAGTCACGATTCTAAAAAGAATTTGTTAATTATTCCCATTTATTTAAATTAGCGTCAATATGTTGTCATGAAAAAACCAATTAGAATATTTCAATAAAAATAGTCCAGAAAATAATGATCTACCAAGACGTGAGCAAAATGTTTGGATGTGAAGAGAATGCGAGTGCAGTGAAGGACTGCATGTTTATTTATAGTCTGCCTGCCAGTGAGCAAACAACCAGCACAATCGTACTCGTCGATATTGTCATCGACTATAAGAAGACGCTGGCTACGATGAACAAAAGTTTTTTTTTGTTATTCTCCTATTTTTGTTTTGTTTTTATTATGGAGTTTAATATGAAATGTAAAGTTCATTATAGGAGACCATAATTGGTGCAATAGTTGATAAAATCTAGCGAACTTTTAGCTTTTGAAAGTTAACTTTGAACTTTTCAATGTTTCAGGCAGTAATTTTATAATTATTATTTAATTTATTGAGATTAATTAATAAATCATTGGTGTTCGTGATGAGGCGTAAAAGTCCTGGTTCGAATTTACCCATCAGCAGCGCTTATATAGAGATGTTTGTTTCAACGTTTTACAATTCTCTGTGTGTGTGCAAAGTGCTTTTATTCTGCTTTGTCCTGTGCAAATGATGGTTTATAAATGATAATAATTATAAAATTGCTGTTAGAAATATTGAAAAGCTCAACCGTAAACTTTCAAAAACTCGTTAGATTTTATTAAATATTGTCCGTATATATATATATATATATATATATATATATATATATCATCATCATCAGTTACCATCACACCACCACCACCAGTTACTAACATCATCATCATCATCATCGGCAGCATGTACATAATATCACAACCATCCTCACACAAACGTTAAAAATTGCGACACTTTTGATTGGTTGAAGATATTTTAAAGCTTTGAACTCTGCGATATGATTGGTCGTTTGAGGCTCGTGAATGACATCTTCGTCACTACCGTTCTGACTTGATACAAGAAAATTTTTTGAATTAGGTTGAAAATGTAAGGCTATTAAATATCGGTTTGTTACTATACTCTTATTACTAATAATGTAGTGGTGGTGGTGGTGTGGTGTGGTGTGGTGTGGTGTTGGTGGTTGTTGTTGCAGTAGTAGGAGGAGTAGGAGGATTAGTAGTATTGGTAATAGTGGTAGTGGTAGTAGTAATGTGGATTCTGTGGCATAAATATTAACGTTATTAATTGAAATGAAGTGATATTATATAGTGAACATCACCATATTACTGACAAACAACATAATATAATTTATCCGTAGCAATTTTTTTTTGTGTTTCTTACAATCATTATAATTATTATTTTAATAAAAAAATTAATAATAATATTATTATTATTATTGGTCAATAACAAGCAACAAAAACGTCAACAATTTTTATTATTATATTATTAACAATAACAACATAGAGTGTCCTTTATTATTTATCCGATTTGCATTATTTGTAATTACTGTCGAAACGCTCTTTTCGTTGTTGCTACTTTTGTTATTTATTATTGTTGTTGTTGTTATTGTTGTTGTTGTTATTGTTGTTGTTGTTATTGTTGTTGTTGTTATCATTGTTGTTATTATTATTGTCGTCCTTCTTCATTTTTATTGGCAGCCGTCAGCAAATAACGACAGCAGCAACAATAGAGATCAGTCACATTGTTTACATCTTCAGAATAATCTTCATCTTCGTCATCATCTTCCTCCTCATCATCATCTTTTTCGTTAACATCATCATAAAAGTACATTCATCATCATCATCATCATCATCATCATCATCATCATCATCATCATCATCATCATCATCATCAGAGGGGCAGCAGCATCAATTCAATGTACCATCATCATTTCAATGATCATCATCACCATTATTATAAGTTTACTTATTATCACAACCATCATAATTATCTCAACCGCCATCACCGCTACTGACATCATCATTATCATCCTCACTATCATCTTCCTCATCATCATCACAGTCGTCATCATCGTTTTCGTTATCATCATCATCATGACTACCATGAGAAAAAGTCACGTGACAGTCAGACGATGCTCACCTCGGCACACGTGGATCCACAAGTTGATCCACAATCTTCATGCTACTGCATACAACTCACATCATCATCATCATCAACATCATCATCATCATCAACATCATCATCACCATCAACATCCCCATCGTCATCATTAGGCGTGCGTTCTTCATACATTTGTTATTGAGAAATATCACTGCATTTTCAGCTTTGATTAGTTTCTGGCAATTTTTCATTATTTCGTAAATTTGGGCGGCGTGATGGTGTACTGGCTAAGGTGCCTGGCATCGTTGATGTAGTGTCCGGGTTCGAATGCAAAATGATTCCCATATTTTTATCATTGTTTTTCGACTTGTTTTTATCGAAAACAAAATTTTTAACTGCTCTTCTATTCATTTTTATTTTATGCAAAAAATGCACTTTTCGTAATCTTTTACAATTTTCAATGTCGTATGTTTCAAATTTCAATACACTGAAATGGTAAAGGATCACCATAAAAATATTTTATGTATAAAAAAAGAATAGTTAAAAAAATTTGTTTTCTATGC